GTTTCTTTCCTTCACCTCCAACACCTGACCAGACCCAAGTCCTGACCTGTTCCGGGGCTGATCTGGTTGTCGTAAAGATGGATGTCGTCTCCGCAGGAGATGGGCAGGTCCTGTCCCTCCTCTCGACCCTCGCTGCCCTCCTCTAGCTCCGCCTCCCGCTGCTCTGGGAACACAACAGCACAGGGTCACCATGACAGAACCACTGCAGGACCCGGTACGAAGACTGGACCAGGTCCACTGACTCGGGSTTAATTCAGGGTTTTTATTTACTCTGAGCAGACTGACTCTACCAACATGGAGGATGTTTGAAACAGGAAGTGGGAGAACTCTTCACTTCCTTTAAACCAGGACATTGATCTAAATGTTAGAGGGGTGTGTGTAAATATTTGAGCCTGCGAGCAGGATCTGGTCTTGTTGTCATGCGTTGTGTTTAGCTGCCAGACAAACATTCCCTAACGAGCCTCTACAATGAAGCCTCCATCCCATAATAATGTAATTGTGTTTTGATGACAGACAGCTGAGAGGAGCTGCAGCAGGAGGCCTTCTGTGGATCTGCTGACTGCACGACGTCTTACAGAAAGGGAGTAATTAGCCGAGGGAGACGGGGAGATCCAGCTCCAGTCTGTTTCATCTGCTCGACTTCGGCTGCTCAAACTAATTGGAAGCTTCTTCGGCTTGAAGGTACCGAAGCCGCTGTTAGAAAAAAAAACAGTTTATTATTTCTATTCAAACGCTGCAGAGCTGAGAGGCTTCATGTGTCGCAGCTGCAGCTTTAAATGCAGACAGGATCTTTGGGCAACTAGAGAAAACATACACAGCCGAAGGAGCTGAAACTGAGCCGTTATAGCTAAAGGACGAAGCTACAAGGAAGTAGCTGCCTAAAAACAAAACAGTTACAGCTAAAATGAGTTAGTTTAAAACTAAAAGCTAAAAAAGTTACACACTCAGACTGAAACTTTCAGATTAACAGACCAACAAACTCAGACAGTTTGACAAAAAGTTAGTAGTAAAAAGTTAGAGTACACTTAGACTCAGTAACAAACTCAAACTCAGACTCACAGACTCAGAGTTACAGACTCAGAGTTACAGACTCAGACTCACAAACTCAGACTCACAGACTCAGACTCACAGACTCAGACTCAGAGTTACAGACTCAGAGTTACAGACTCAGAGTTACAGACTCAGACTCACAAACTCAGACTCACAGACTCAGACTCACAGACTCAGACTCAGAGTTACAAACTCAACACTCAGAGAGTCAGAGTAACGGACTCAGACTCAAACTCAGAATTACAGACTCAAGACTCACAGACAGTTTAACAAAAAGTAGTAAAAAGTTAGAGTACACTCAGACTCATAGACTCAGACTTACAGACTCAGAGTTACAGACTCAGACTCATAGACTCAGANATAGACTCAGAGTTAAAGACTCAGAGTTACAAACTCAGACTCACAGACTCATAGACTCAGAGTTACAGACTCATAGACTCACAAACACAGACTCAGAGTTACAAACTCAGACTCTCAGACTCAGACTCACAAACTCAGAGTTACAGACTCAGACTCACAAACTCAGAGTTACAGACTCATAGACTCACAGACTCAGACTCACATAGATTTACAGACTCAGACTAACAGACTTGAACTCAAAGACTCAGAGTTACAGACTCAAGACTCACAAACACAGACTCACATAGATTTACAGACTCAGACTAACAGACTTGAACTCAAAGACTCACCCATTTCTTGAAAAAAGTATCCGTTCTTGGACATCCCAGATGGAGGAGCCTCTGCAAGAGAAAGAGAAAGAAAAGATAGAGCAGTGAGATCTGAGCCATGAAGACTTGCACGCAAAAAAGTTTGTTGTTAGCAAAATGTCTCACAAACCACTGGACAAATTTAACCAAAAGAGATGGTCTATAACATACATTATGTTTGAAGCCATTCCAAGTCAAGATGGTCGCCACAACCAAGTGACAGTGGCAGAACATTTGTTTGTTTTTAAATTTAAATTTCCAGTCCGGAAGCTTCTGAACATTACGACACTTCAGATAAAGAAATAAGATGAGAGGCAGGAAACCCACAGGAGAAACCAGAGAAACCACATCATGTTTTTATCTTGCAGTTCTGCAAACATGAGTGCAAAAACCAACAGAAAGACGTTGCAGGTTTCAGAAGTCGGACTTCTGTATGAGCTACTGAAGGTTCTGCAGACGTACCGGAGGAAAACCCAAGACTTTATGATCAAAACCTAAAAACTGAAACCGTTAGTGCAGCCAGTTGGTCCCGCATTTTATTTCCCTCACAGAAGCTGGGTTTAAATAAAATTACAGAAGAATTAGAAAAAATAACGGTTACAGGATGTCTGAGCTCCTTCAGGTGATGAAGACATGGCGTGCAGAAAAACAACATTTAGATGATTTATGTCTTTTGTGCACAAACCTGCAACCAAAACCTCAGAAAAAAATTAAAACAAGAAAAACAATTCCTGAATTTTCCCTCCTGCTCCTGAGAGCTTTTATTTTTCTGTGCAGAGTCAGAAACAGCCCTGCAGCTGCATGATGATGAGGATGATGTTTTCATAAAAAGAGGAAGTCACTGCCGTACCAACAGGAAGTCAGAACAGGTCAGTCCAAACGTCTCAGTTCCTCTCAGAGCGAGGTGGTTCTGAGGTTTCTGTGCCTTCAACTCTTAAACCCAAATATCTGCCAACAAAGCACCAAGTCTTCTCTGACTGAACCATAAACCTTTATACTGAAGACAGGATTTAAAGACTTTCACAACATTTGCTCTCATTTCAGTCACTTTTTAATAAACATCAGACAAATCAGCTCAAATAAATTCACACAGTCAGATAAATCTTTACAGTCTGAAGATCTGAACTTCCTGTTAGTGATTAGGGGTGTAAGAAAAAAATCGATACACTGAAATATCGCAATATTTCATTTCCCGAAACTGTATCAATATTCTAAAGTCCTGTATCGATTTTTTATTAAGGTTTAAAATGACAACCTTCTTGCCAACCGTTCATTTTTATGTTGTAGTTCAGCCTCTGACCACTAGTTGGCAGCAGTGAGCCAGACATTTGGCTCCTCTACCTCTTGAGTGCCAGCGAGTAAGGGTAGCATTAGCATTGTGAGTAAACATTAGCTTTTCTTTTTTTTTTCAGTAAGAGGTTTTTATTTAATAGAATTTTTGGAAAAAAAATCGCAATATATCACAATATATCGCCTTGCTTACAGTTTCGCAATATATCGGGATATATCGTATCATGACCCCTCTGTTATGATATGTATCGTATCGTCAAATTCTTGCCAATACACAGGCCTATTAGTGATCATGATTGACTGCAGCTGAGAGTCTCTGTGCCAGCAGAAAACAGATTTATAACCCCAACCTAACCCCCCAGAGACGAGGGAACCAGGTCTGATGTTCAGGAATGACCCGGGAGCCACCAAGACCTGTTCCTTCCATAAACCGTCTCCGTCCTCCACTGTTCACTACTGTCCCTGTCCACTGTTGTCCCTGTCCACTGTTGTCCCTGCCCACTGTTGTCCCTGTACACTACTGTCCCTGTACACTACTGTCCCTGTACACTACTGTCCCTGTACACTGTTGTCCCTGTACACTACTGTCCCTGTACACTACTGTCCCTGTACACTGCTGTCCCTGTACACTGCTGTCCCTGTACACTGCTGTCCCTGTACACTACTGTCCCTGTCCACTGTTGTCCCTGTCCACTGTTGTCCCTGTACACTGTTGTCCCTGTACACTGTTGTCCCTGTACACTGTTGTCCCTGTACACTACTGTCCCTGTACACTACTGTCCCTGTACACTACTGTCCCTGTACACTGTTGTCCCTGTACACTGTTGTCCCTGTACACTGTTGTCCCTGTACACTACTGTCCCTGTACACTGTTGTCCCTGTACACTGTTGTCCCTGTACACTGTTGTCCCTGTACACTGTTGTCCCTGTCCACTGTTGTCCCTGTCCACTACTGTTAGTGTTAAGCAGAGGGTTTAACAGACTTTTTACCCAAAAATAGTTTACATTTTTTAAAACATAAAGTATCATCACGGCATGAACCAACTTTAAAGAAAAATCAGATTATTTTTGCTTTGATAATTTTTTGCTCAGGGTTTAATAACTTTGTAAACGTTAATTTGCTGCACAGTTTCTTTACTTCCTAACGTTAATCTACATTTCCTCTGAAAGACTTTAGATGTAAATGAGTTTGTGAAGGTGCTTTCTCCTGGGTGCAGTAAAAACACGTCATCTGATGTGTTGGAGACAGAACGAAGGGAAGACAGATGCCGGGGACAGCAGGAGGGATGAACCCTGGTTTTTACAGGAGAGGGAAGGTTGAGATTAAACGGGGCTCCCGCTGTTTTTCTGAGGGAATCTACAAGAACCCAGCCTTTTGTTTGCTAATTGTGCCTCCAGGCTGGAACGGCGCTCGTCCTCTGGAGCTGAGGGAAACCCTCCTGTTCCTGTTTTAGGACTCGCCGTTAAAGAGCAGGCCCACATTTGGCCTTTCTTTGGATCTTTTTTTTTCTTTACTCCAGAGGAATTTGAAAGCATTTTGGTCAGGAGGCTGATTACAGACACGTTGTAAACGGTAAATTCAGAATGAGAAGATTCAAAGAGCTCACTGGTATGAAACTGGTGGAAATCTGGTAAATTTCAGCTGCAGGACCAAAGGCCTGTTTTTGGATTGTGAGGCTCGGCTAAGCCCACCCTGCTCCAGTCGGTCCAGTCTTCTGTCCATCTGTGCTACCCAACGTAAACTGCTACCGTCATGTTTACAGAAATATCTTCAATGGACGCTCAGTCTTATTTCCAGTGGTGGGTACCAGCCCGCTAAAGCGCAAATCTGCTAATTGTGGACCTAAATATTTCGTTAAGGGTCTTACTAATTTTTATAATTTATAAGCGGCTTTGCGCTTTCTAAAATTAAAATGCACTCCCGCTAATAACTAATTATCTACCAGTCATCATTATCTTGAACAGCAGAAGGTATGACTGTCAATGAATCACAACACATGTGATCTATCCAACAGCACCCCTCCCAGATAAACACACTTATTGTGAAGGTATACATCCTGCTGACTGTTGCTTTCGGTCAAAGTTCTCATTTCCCACAATGCTTTGTGTCTGCTTACGTAGCAGGAAGGCAATGTTTAGAACTCCCTCTCCCAGCAAAAACAGTTAACGTTTGTAATCCATACTAAAGTTTTGTATTAATTTATTTTACTTTACAATTGGAGCTCCTTCTTTTAAAAAAAAGTTTAAACACTGGAGCTCAAAACTTGACGTAATTGGTCGAAGCAATCGGCCAACGGGGTTAGACTGACATCTAGTGGTCAACTGGAGCAATTACATGGAAAACTTTAAAATCCAAGCTCTTATTTTGAAGTGAAGATAGTTTCCTGTAGTCCGTGTTTTCGTTTCCCGTCACAAATCAAATCCGTCTTGTACCCAGAATGCATCACTTCAGTTTACCAATAAACAGTTTTAAAATTATTTTATTGATGCTTCTTTAATGAAAAATCTACAACAAACAAAAGAAAAAGACAAAGAAGCAGCCGAACTAGCAATCCTCAAGAACTTTTTAGTTTTTACACCAGGAGCTAAAGGTCTGTTTCAGGAAATCACATCCCCAGCAATCAGTGGTTGTAGGATTAATCTATAAAAAGGTTCATACACCACTAGTTGGCAGTGTTGTACATTTGTTGTACATGAATTGTTGCCAGCTAGTAAGTGTCAAATTGAACTTGCGCTTTAAAATTAGCTTCCTCTAGTTTTTCTACAGCATAAGCGCTTTTGAAGTTGYGGACCTAAATATTTTCATAAGTGCTTTAGAAATTGCGGAGCTAATTTTTGGATTAGCGCTGCCCACCACTGTTCATTTCACTTTATTGGTGACAAAACTGAAGTAGATTCATTAAACTCGAAGGAAAATTACCGAATGTTGAACCAGATCATCCAGCAGTTTGATGCTGAAGACGAGAGGGCTGGACGACAGAGAACGGTAAGCTAATGCTAGCTAGTGCTAGCTAATGTTAGCTTGTTATTGTTAGCTCGCTACTGTAGTTAAAAAACTTTACATTCACCTCAAACGACTCACATAAACTTACTCTCATCTGTGACACATCAACGATTCTTGGCAATGAGTCTTATTCCAGTGGAAAGCCTGTTAAAACYCCTTTAAATGGCACATTTGTAAGGATCATGCATTTGTGGGATGAGCTGTAGAGCCATCAAACTGTTTTATTTTGCTGTTATTGACTCTTGTTTTGCAGTCTGTGCATCTATAAGAGTTGTAGTTATTGTTGATCTAGCAAACACTAACTTACTGACTTTTCGTGCTCAGCTTATAAAAACTGAAGTTGTTTACAGACATTTAATCTCAAATTCTGCTCCTGGACACCAAAACTGAATCCACATTAATTGCTGGTCTTATTTTCCTCTCGTTGCCATAGAAACTGTTGGGGATGCACCAGCCGAAGGTGGGGGTGTCGGGTCTTTTCTCTTACAGTAATGGTCCAGACAAAAAAGTAACGATGGGGGTGGCGAACTGAGCAAAGCAATAATTGTTTGAGGCGTCAGAAAACGCAGAAAAAAAATGATTCTGATCTTTGAGGCGATGTTAACGAGGTTCAGTTTTTAATTAAACGATGAAAAGAAAAGTTGTTCAACTCGACTCAAACTCAGAAACCTGACAAGGTCACAGCTTCATCATCAGATTCATCTGAACCAGCTTCTCCTCACATTTATCTGACAGCTGA